ACTCATAACAATAAGTTCATTCTACTTGATATTATAATAAAGTTATGAAGTTATTGATTAAAACTGCGAATTCGCGCAGAAAACTACAAAATATTTTCAAGTAAATAATTTAATAATATTTTCAGTGGTAATTACTATTAATAACAATAAAGTACTTGTAAGTTTTAACTAATTATTAAACTTAATATGTAGATTAAAATTGCTATTTGCGGTTCAAGAATCCAAAAAATGCTCTTGACCCTTCTATGGCTACCAGCAATCCCCGTGACGTGTGCTCTGTCCTCCTTCCAGTGCTATTCATGTGGTGTATTTCTGAATGCTCCTACAGCCCACTGCAAAGGTGAACCAAAAAAGATTAACTGTACCAATACGGCATCATTTAATGGTTGTGTTTCAATTACTGCATTGAATAAGGTTATTATTACTGATTATTGATTAATTGTTTGATTGAGTGATTGGATGATTGATTCAGTATTGAATTGATCATCATAATAAATAATATATAATATGATAGAAAGTTAAGCTTAATTGCAGAAATCAATCATTCAATCAGTATCCATAATATTTACTTAAGATATGCAGTCAAGCAGTTTAGAGAAAATATTTGTCGATAGTACCCGTTTACGTAATTGACACGTGCTGAATTCGAGCTTACTGTATTGATTTAGTTCAAATAATTTTAATCACTTCGGGACATTACTCGATTATTTTGTACACTTCAGCCCTCTGACATTCTTAAAACAAACCTTTTTTGAATTTTTTTTCTCAATATGGAAAGACTTTTTTCTTTCCAAAGTTCTTCACTTAATTGCTTCTTCAAAATTATATGAATCAACCTTTGACCCTGAACCCGTGAATCATCTGATTGGATGTCAAGTGGAAAAAAAACGTCACTGCTTCTTTTTTGTTCAAGAATTTTTTCAATGAACCAAAAAATCTTGATATTATTTATGCATATTTATTCATGAAATCAGTGGTTTTATATTGAATCCCATTCGTTTTTCTAGCAAACAATTTGTTGAGGAAATACTTGACCGAATCTAATTTTTCAGATCTATGCAAACACTCAAAATTTCTTCAAGAACTAGCAGTACTGTAATAGACGTATATTATATTGTATTGATTACACTTAATGAAATTACGAAATAATTTTGCATACCAATATACAGTAATATAATATACAGTATAATATAATAATATTTTGGATCATTTGTCAAGTAAAATCAGGATAGTTCATATTATGCAGAAATGTATAACAATCTCAGTAATGTTCAAATTTCTTCTTTAGTAGCACTAGCATTATTGTATTGCCAAAAAGAAGGATAATTTCTCCAGAATCATTATTTTATAATAATAGTTATTGTAATGATTGTTATAGTGATTACTTTTGCATTCAAAAGATCAAAAAGAGTATTATTCAATAATTGTTGTCACTGAGATCAGATCATTTCTAGTTGAAGGAACAAAGAGTGAGTATTTTCTAGATACAATACAATATTGTAGAACTATTTATTCACTTAAGCACTTGACTTTACCATTTTTTTATCAGTAAATTTTTATTCATTGGCATTTAAATTAATTAAATGAGTAAATGATTTCAGGATGGTTCATATTATGTAGAAAAACGGTGCGCAGATAGTGAGGAGAGAATGCTGAAAGATGGCGAATGCTTGAAAATGAAAGTTTGGAAGTAAAATTTATCACATATTGAAATGCACAAAGTATTAATATATTATGCAAATATTTTATTCTAGCTTATGCTAATTTCCTTCCAAATTACTACAAAACATATATGAACTAACTAATATTACTAATAAAACATATTTATTTTAATTATTTTTAGACTAAATGAAGCAAGTAAGTGCTTTTGTGCTCAAGAATTGTGCAACGCTGCAATAGCAGTAAGTACCGATCGTCTTTATTTTATCGCCTTAATTTTATCTTTGATCACTTTTAAATATTTTCTTAAACTGTGATTTTTTTAATCAATGCTGTGGATATGAAAAAAACTATGTAAATTATGATTCCATTTAATTGCGAATAATAAGTGGTGCTGCTTTACAAGGCTGCCCTTTGTTTCATCTAATTTTTCACGTGGTCGTTAACGTGAAAATGCAAATAATTGGTTGCTTATTTTAGCTTTAATCGATTGATCAAACTTATCATAATAATTATCACAATGATCAATACTTTTTCTAGCTATAATTGTTTTCAACAATCACAAGTTCGAAAGATGACATTATTGTTGCAATTCTGAATTAATATTTAGGTGATATCTAAATTGCTTTATTAAGAGATAACAGTCTCAAGAAATAAGTCATAGTTCAATCTTGCTCGCTTATTGGGTAGAAAATGTTGCAAAAAGTTAACTGCAACTGAAACAATTTTTATTCTTATTTTTTTAAATAAAAGTGAAAATTGGCGCCAAAAAGTTGTAATTACTTTCTAGCAAAGAAAAACGTTATTGTTGTGCGTGAAATACGCAAAATAACTCTATAAAACAACTATGAAATGTATGTTAAGAATTTTATGCTTTTATGTACGAAATTATATTGCTATTTCAAGTAAAACGATAAATAAACTCGTATTTTAGGTGTTAATTTCATGCTAGAAAAAATAATAATAATCAAGCATTATGGGCTTGAAATGAAATATCTATTTAAATAATATTAAGTGTAAATTAAAGTGACAACAGTCATTGGTACTTTTTGAATGGAAGATATTCAGCTTTTGTTTTTCTGATATATTAATATTTTATTACGATAATGACTGTGAATTATTACATTTATTACTGTTGATTACTGTAAGACAATATTGTAGTTTATTACAATGAAAACCATAAAAATGGTTTAGCTGAATATACTGCACAGATGGAGGGAATTTAATTTAACTAATACTTTTTTATGAGGGAATGTTGTTTAGAAGCTTAAATTAATTACCAAACTTTAAAAATTAAAGTAAAAATTAAAAAAGAAATTTATTATGTAAATGCGCATTTGGCAATACCAAAATGCATTAAAAATTAAGATTTAAAATATTTAATTAATTCAGGGAAATTTTATTAGAGCAGAAAATGAGTAATAAAGTAAGAATGAGTCAAGTAATCAAATTTATTGATTCAGAAGAATCCTGTTTCTTGAAGTTTCTGCACGAGGAAGCTAAGATCTGCCGTTTCGTCAGGAGTCAAGATATTAGTTGATCCCAAAGCTATTCCAGTCAAAAGTTCAATCATTTGATCAACTTCACTTTTGCTCAATCCCATTTCGGCACCAAATATATCAACTGTTGGTGATTCTACAATAAATTGCAACAATCATTAAGATTTTTCCAATCAATCAGTGATTTAATTACATGAATCCCTACTGCATAAAAGATTCAATTCTCATACCGACTTCACACTAATTAATTAGTTTTACTTTGAATTTAAAGTTATGAATTAATTATATGAACTGAATATTTAAATGGGCTAAGTTAAATTCTTAACTCACACTTATTTCACATTAAACTATTGACTTTCGCATTCAAAATTAATTGCGAAAAATTCAATTTTGTCTTTTCTACTGAACTAAGTTTGCAAAAAAAAGTGCTAACGAGATAAAGCAACGGCAACTTTTTCAACCCCGCCAAAGCCTTCTAATTCATTGTATGCTTTAGGTCCAAACAACTTTGTCAGAAAGTTTTTGCCATGCGCATGTAATAATGCTTTCAAGAATGATGCTGTTTCTTCAACAGGCGGTCGAACAGCTACAAACTTATTCATTGTTTTATGAAACAAAGTTGGCTTACTACGAATTTTTCACGCTCAATTTATTTTTGGTATTATCTAAATCTGTGCCTCAAAACTGCGCAAGATTAAATCCATCAAATAATCGATCTGATAATTTGATTACATATTTGAGCTTGCAGTACTTTTGATAATATAAAAACACAATAGGCTTCAAAAGTAATTAATCTTTATAGTCTAGCAAGTGTACAGCTGTATTATTAAAAACTTTCAATTTGTTTATATGAAAAAAATTTGACAATTTTTGTTTATTCTTTGATATACTTGGAAAAATAAAAATTAAACGACAAACCAGCTGTACACATGCTTTTGTTCTCATCATACTCATCGCTACAATCAGGAGATCCATCACACAAATATTTAATCGGTACACAGTCACCATTTGGGCATTGGAATGGATGCCATGTTGGGCATACTTCTGAAATATTAATCTTATATTTTTTAATATTATAATATTAATTATAAAACACAAAACTTGAGTTCTAAACTTTGTAATTGATAGCACTGTAATTTTTGTTGAAATTAATAAGTGAATATTGAGACATCCGTAGAAAATATTTTTAATAGTCACGATTTAAAGTTGTCATTCTGATAAACTTTGCAAATTTGTAGTTTGATCATCAGTATGCATCACGAAAATTATCACAGTAAGTAGTGTGGAATAATCATGTTCAATGCCAAGACGAATAGAAGTCAGATGAATTACAATTATGAACACAAAAATATGCAAAGATGACTTTGCTTCTGCTTCATAATTGCCACTAGATATTATTGATACTGACTTTTTACAATATTCTCTAATTACCATATTTTCAGGATTAATTGTTAATTACTCATTATGGTTTGTTAGTCACATTTTCAAAGTAAAGGATTGCTCATTTACTAATCACTGAATTGATATTCCTTAATTTTCATCAAAATATCAAAATTTCACTTTACTTCACAATCGAATATAATGTTTAAGAAAATGTTAAGATAAATTATTACATATAATATACTCATATAATGACGCCAAAATAAAAGTTTGTTGTCATAATAATAATAGTTAATAAAAATAATAGTAATAACAATAATAATAATAATAATAATAATAATAAATAATTTATCAATAAATAAATAAATAAATAAATTAATAGTCTGTAAAACATAGAATAAAATTATGCTAAGATATCATTCTTACCTGTAGTACTTGTTCGTTTGTTACCTAAAATTAAGTTACGAATGCTAAATGCGCAAGCATCCATAGCAATCAGAGCAAACAGCAAATAAGTAATACTAAAAGTATTATTCAATTTTGCCAACATTTGTTTTCCACGTCGAAATGTTTTTTGACTTACTTACACTAAAATATATTTGAAAGTAAAAATTCTGTATAAACGATCAAATAAAAATCAAAATTATTAACACGTTGTGAATCGCTAAAATTGCAATTACGTAAGATAAAATAAGAAATAATAACTTTGTCATATAAATATTTGAATGTAATTTTCCAATTAAAATTTTATAATCAAAATTGAAAAAATTATGAATATATATTTACATTTTAAATAATTTGAGCAAGTTTTTTTCTTGTCGCTATGGTGACAGATACTTTACAATTTTATCAAATTATGCAAACCAAAAGAATTCATTTAAATAGCCTACCGAAGAACTTGGAAAGTAATTCAACGGTAAATAATGTGCATTGATAATTCTCCGGCAAACACTAATATGATAATAATTAAAGCTTTGGCGTTTAATAATAAATATCTCATATGGAAGCACTTTAACTTTGTTTACAATGTTCTGAACTATTTTTAAATATAGAACGTTATATCACTTTGCAGAGTTCAAATTATTCACTGACTGCAATATATTTTGAACCTAGACCCAATCCTTTTTTCAAATAACTCTCAGTAATATATGAAAGTTTGCTTTTAAAATTTAAGCTTTTTCCATAAGCAAATTTGGCACTATAACAATTATTTTTGCAATTCAATTATTCTTTTTTTGGAAATCAGAATTCATAGTGACAATTGTTATGCCTTAATGAACGAAACATATTCAGGCATAAACTTCTTCAATACAAAAATCGAAAGTTAAATTAGTTTACAATAAGCAGTCTGACTAACTTTTGACAAAACTCATTTCCATATTTAAAATTTTGATTTTTAAATAAAATCAAACGTAAATGAGCAATTAAAAACTTTAATTTATACCAAATATATGTAAATTAGCTAAAAATTATGCAAATATTATTTCTATTAACGTGTCAAACAATTAAAAGTATTTGACAACACATTTGTAACTAAATAATTTATTAACAAAGCTTTTAAAAATTATAAAATTATTCAAGTAAAAAGTACTATATTCAATATGAAAAAGTGAGGTTGCAACTATGCACCAAAGTATTAATAATTAATTTGATATCAACTTTGGAAAATGAAAAAGAACAATACAAAGTTTTTATTCATAATTTTAGACAAATGTTTGCAAGCATATTCAAACTATTATAGAGTTACTAATTATGCATCTTATAGTAGTCTGTGGCAAATTAATTTTTCTAAAGAATATTCATTTGTACTGTAGCACACATAAATTTTTATTGAAATATTCACAAATTAATGCAATTGTGAATGAAAATATTCAAATAATATTTATTTTTAATTTGTGAATAGTACTTGTTTGTGGTTTGTGTATCATTTAAAATGATAAATAACACAAATAGATCATTTAAAATTGATTTTAGATCAATTAAAATAGTATCAACACAAATACAGTACCAAAAATAATGACAAAGCCTTAACTCTCGTTATTTCCAATCAGTAAAGGGATAATTATATGCTTTGGTTACTTTGCTTACAAGTTCGCTATGGTTACTTTTCATTAGTGAAGATGAAATTGCGAATAAGTTCCAAAACCAAGATGTTGATGATGCGAAATTTCCGCCTTGATATTTTTAAGACCACGTTCAGATTCACGTAAAAATGCTGATAAAATTAATAACTATCAATATTGCAGCAAACAGAATCTGTCTCGAAAAATCAAAATTCATTCGATAAATTATTATCACTAGAAATTATTGAAACTTTCTTTGAGAAAAAATCTTCAAAATTAATAAAAATCAAAAACTAAGCAGAAATTAGTTTTTAAATTGAGAATAATAAGAAAATTAACATTTTACATATTACATGCTCTTATATAATGGATTTTAAGAGTGAAAATTTTGATCACGTATTACGGACTGATTAAATCACAATCACAATCACAATCACAATCACAACTGATCAATCAATTTCGAGAACAAATAAACAAGCATTTCACATAATGTTCTGATTCTTATAAAAAATTTGAAGACTTCTATCCAAAATTACAAGTCAGTAAATCAAAAAAAAAGGCACATAAAAAGTGACCACTCACAT